ATCGCATCTTTTCATCTGGTTAGATGTCCAGAGAAAGACATTCTATTTTTGGGGATGCTTTTGTTTTTCCTTTTAATTAACCTCAAACTACTGATCAGTTTCCTAGAGGAAGTTCTGGCTTCTGGACTGCACAGCCGAAGCAAGGAGAGCTCTCAAGCCACATCAAGGTCAGCAAGCAGAAGATGAAACGGTGATGAGGGGAATGGCACAGCTTCCGCTCTTGCTCCCACTACAGGCTCTCCCCACTAACTAGAGGTGTGGGAGAGCAGCTTTGGGTTCTGTGCTGGTTGTTAGAACTCACCTCCAGGTAGCCTGCAGATTCCTGGTTGGTACAGACACCAAGACTCTCAGAGTTGAGCCAACAATAAGTCTGAGCCCAACTCAACCCTCTTTTCTCCTGTAGTCTTTGTGTATCTGTTAGCACAATCACTTCAGTTACTGATGAATTTTGTCTGGATCTGACTTGGAAAAAGGGTTGGCATAGCCTAGAGGGGCTTAAAAGGTAATCATTTGATGTACATACCACATTTCCTGTCTTCCTTTCTCTTCCCTTGACCCTTTCTGCTTTTCATGAACCACATTCCTGCACAACTTATTTCTGAAAACCTCCCATGTTTCTTTACAGAGGCATCCAAAATTGTTTGTCCCTGAATAACAATGCTCTGCTGCACTGAGGAACCATGTATGGCCACAATAAAACTCCGTTTTGTGACAAGATCAGTGATTTAGCTTTCTTTTCTTTGGGGCTAATTTATGGGAATTTATGAGGTGGGGCATGAGCTGGTTTCACACCAAACATAATGAAGACATTACCTCCACCTGAAGGATATTTAAAGTATGTCAAGGCAAATAAATTCTGGTGTCAATTTCACCTCTCTTGAAAACAGTAGAATGCGATAGTATCATTAATGCCAGGAAATTAAAACATCCTCAAGTCATCACAGCAAAAATACCACAGCACAATCCGTCCCTGGGGTGTGTGTGTGTGTGTGTGTGAAGTTATATGTTGATAAATATTCTCCAGCATCAGACAGCAAGGGTCAAATCTATATCATATTTATATGGTTTGAGGACTATTATTAAGTCTCTTTGTGGCTCAGCTTTCTCATCTGTAAAAGAGAACCTTCCTCATAGGATTACGAGGATTAAATTAGATGAGATGGTACATGCAAAGTGCTTAGAACACTGGTATATAGTAATCGCTCAATACAACTTGACTAATAGTAAATAAGATTAATTTCTGGGTCTAAGTTGGGGTTACAGAATCACTATGCAAAATGATTGGATTCCTGTCAACCCTCCCATTGCACTTAAAGTTCAGAAAAGAGAGGGAAAACTGGAAGGTCATTCTGTCCATTTCCCTTCTCTCCACTCCTCCCAGCCCTCAGCTGTTACTGCTTTACACACACTCGATGAAGTCAACTCTTAAGTTCTTTTTTTTTCTTTTGTGGGTCCTTCTGGTAATTTTTTCTTAATTCTTCATTTTTTTACAAGTCTTTGAGACAGCCTGCACTTGGGGATGCAATATTTTAAATGCAGCATTTTACAAGTTATATAGTCTTTTCTATACAGAAAACTCCCTCCTCCAAGCAGGAATATCTGAGCTTTCCTTCCTATCGGCAAGATAACGCTGTGGAATAAAAAAAGCAAAACCAAGACCTTCCTTATATCATTTTCCTCATTATTCATCTGTTTCCATTGTGCCTACTCAACTGACAATATCAAGAAGTCTCAGAAACGAGCCCATCAGGGCGTTTGATGTCAGAAGTTGGCATTTCTTTATTAAGAATCAAAGACTCATATTTTTGTGTAAGACTTACAGAGCTGATTCCGTTATTACTGGCCCTTTATTTTTGTGCCCTTTAAAAACATCACTTTAATTAAGGTCTTGTGTGCTTTCCATAATCCTCTCCCCCATAGACAGGAACGCCCTGGTCAAAACCTCTGGGTTCCATCTACTCTACAAAAGCCAAGGATATTTGTTTTTAGACAACTGTGTTTGAATAACAGTTTCCGCCCAGTAAACTTGCAAGCAGCAGCTCACACGTTTTTATCTCTTTCTCCCTTAAGTGGAGTTATAAAATATTCCATTCTAGAATACAGCTACTAGCAGTCCAGTCTTATCCTCAGATGTTGTTAGGGAGGTACCCCCATCATGAGGTCCTCTGACTGTCTTATCTCCACCGCAGACAGAAACTGGCTGAGAGTGATTTCTGTGGTTTGTGTGTGTGTAGTGTCAAGCTCACTGAGGGCGCTGAGGAGACAGCGCTATAAAAATGTGTAAAGGAACCCATGCGTTCTCAGATTTCTCACTTAAGCATGGGTCTTTGGAAAACAGGCCCACCGACATCCCAGTTCAGGTGCCCCGAGGTTCACCTGGTGAGACAAATCACCTTCAAGAACAGGCCAGGGAAAGTAGAAAGGGGTGAGTGACAGGACAAAGGGAGAACAGGTGAATGGAAGTCGAGGCAGGATCACAGGATGGAGCAGGGCAGAGAGAAAGAGAGAGGACGCCAGAGATTTATGTAACCTCCTAAGGAGCAGACAGGCAGGGAAGGTTCTGCAGCCCACATGCATCTGCTCTAGAATCTGAAATTACTTTGGAGGGTTTTTCATCGGCCCCTCTGCCTGATGTTCCACAATGCTCCGGCACCTATCTGATGCAGCACAAAAGGAACCCTGGACCTCACATACAGGGGGCACTCAGATATTTGTTGTTTTTATCTTTACATTCATTTTTTGAGACAAAGTTTCACTCTGTTGCCCAGGCTGGAGTTCAGTGCTGCAGTCTCAGCTCACTGCAACCTCTGCCTCCCAGGTTCCAGCAATTCTGCCCCAGCCTCCCAGAGTAGCTGGGACTACTGGCATGTGCCACCACACCCAGCTAATTTATTTTGTATCTAGTAGAGCCAGGGTTTTGTCATGTTGGTCAGGCTAGTCTCGAACTCCTGACCTCAAACGATCCACCGGCCTCGGCCTCCCAAAGTGCTGGGATTGCATGAGCCACCACAGCTGATAGAAACTACTGGGAAAGGAGGAAGATGGGGCAAATAATGAATTACTTTTTTCCCATAAATCAGAATCTATTTAAATGATTAAACCACTCCTGTGTGCTTGTCCCACAAGTCCTCAAAAAATCGTGCAGGCTATTTTTCCTCACCGGTACCTCTGGACATTTTACTTCTCATTATTTTTTCCCCGCTTTTTAAACAAGGGGGTAGAAGATAGAGATGGTGGGAAGGGGTGACGAGATGGTTTGGGGAACGTGGTATGTGTGCACTCATGCCCATGAGCGGGGTCACAAAGTCTGAACAGGAGACTGCAGTCAGGAAGCCTGGATTCTAATCTGGTTAGCCCGTGAGTAACTTGATGTATAAACTTGGGCAAGTCAGTTGATCTGGCATGCCCTGTTTCTTCATTTTCCAAATGGAAATATTAATACTTATCCCATATACAAGATGGCACTAAAAGTGTAAAGAAATGACATACAAGAGCATTTTGAAAGGATAAAGTTGTGTCAGTCTGAAATCGTGGAATTAATTGGTATGGTGAATGGAAAGAGGTTGAGAGCAATATTATTGGGTTAGAAGGAAAGGTGCCCGGCGGGAATGGAGAGGCAGCCCCTCCTTCATTTGACAGAGACCAGAAAAACCAAAACAGCTTCCACTACTCAAACCACAAATTTAGCCAACACTTTTATCTTGAGACATCTCTGGAGGAAAAAGGATTTTTCCTTTTCCCTGTTCCTCTGTGCCAGGGATTTTTATTCATTTTGTGGTTATTTGCAAGCTTGCCATATGCCAGGCAATGTGTTTATTAGCTTATTATGATTTCAAAATTAGCTCTAGAAGACAACACATATCTTCAAAGGCTTCTCACAGGTCATCTCATATCTCCCCCTAACTTTCCTTGCTGATGAAAATGGCATTTCATCCCTCACCATTTAATACGTGGGTGGACGCAGGCCTAAAGACATTCAGCGAGTTGACCAAAGGCCACAGAGTGGTGATGAAACCAGTGCCCGACAGTGGGGTTTCTCACTCCCGTCTTCCATCACATATATACTGAAAAGACATGAAGTTACTAAGATGTGTCCTGGAGGCTCTGGGCAGATCTGCTGTAGGACATCAGCAGCCGTCCCCTCGTCAGGGCATCCGCTGGGCGGTCAGCTCTTCCCATCACTGGGCTCCAGCGCTGTAGAGAGGATGGGATTTTTACCTTTCAGTGCAGCGGGAAAACATACCCAGGTGGCAGGAAGTTTAATTCTCACCTGGAACTTATATTGAAAGCCACTTGGTACAAAGGATCATGGTTTGAAGACAGAGTTCTATTCCTACCGGCATTGACACAGTGTGTCTGCAAATCCCCCAGCCATTCTGAGTCTCCGTTTTCTCCCTGTGAGATGGAGATCATAAAATCCGCCTCATTCTGACGGTTATTCTCCTGAGGTTCCAATAAGGCCTGAGGCTTTGAACACTGGAAGAAACGTGTATTAATAGCAACTTCTGTCCCACCCCATCCCCCAACACGTCGATTCCTCCCCGGAGCATAAAACTTTCCCCCAGCATCTGACCTGCCCAGGTCACCCTAGCACCTAGGAGCGTGAATTCCTGATACCGGTTCTGGGTGGCGCGCCCTCCCGGCTCCCGCTCTGGTTTTTGTTTTTGGCCGGAGAAGGCGATGCCGTGGAGGGTGGTGATCTCCCGTCTTCACGAATCCGCAGGTCTCTCCATTATCCACCGCGCCCGCCCACTGTGCCCCGGGGCGGCCGGCGGCCGGGTCTCTCGGGCTCCGCGTGTCGCCCGGGCCGCCGCCGGAGCGAGGGTCCCTGTCCCCCGGGGAGCGGTCTCCGGCCGCTTCGGGGCCGCCTTCTTCCCCCTCCGTGAGTCAGAAACAAAGGCGGGGGGGCGGGGGGAGCGCCCGAGCTGCGGCTCCGCGATTCGCCCTTTATTCTGAACTCGCAACGTCAGCGGCCCGCGGATGGAGCTGCGGGGCGCAGGCTGGGACGCCCACAGCGCACCGGGCCGGGGGAGCGGCCGCGCCGGGCCGGGCGGGCGGGTGGCGGGGGCGCGCTCGGGGGCCCGGGCCGCGTGGGCGCCGGGATGGAGGGCGCCGAGGGGCGGGGAGCGGGCGTGCGTGTGTGTGCGAGTGCGAGGGAGGCCGGCCTTGAGTGAAACCGGAGCTACAAAGAAGGGGAGAGTCCGGGAGCGGGAGGGCGCGAGGGAGGAGCGGCGGCGCCGGGGCAGCTCCGACGCCCTCCCGCGGGGAAGGAGCCCCCGCGGAGCCGCCGAGGCCCCGACGCGGGGCCGCCCCTCCGCCAGCCGCCCCGCGCCCGCCGGGAATGATGAAGAAGAACAATTCCGCCAAACGGGTGAGTGCACCCGCCCGCCCTGCGGCCGCTGCCGCCTCCGCGCTCCGACGACCCGATGCCGGTCGGCGCCGCGGCGGCCTGGGAGCCCCCCGGCCCGGCCGCGCCCCCGCCCTGGCGGCCCGATCCCCTCGGCCTCGGCCGCGGCCCTGGACGCCCGGCCCCGGGAGGCGCCTGGGGTGGGGGGGGCTTTTGTTTGTTTACTCGCCTCGGGGGGCTTCAACTTGTCAGAGTTTCCCCCTGACCCGCACCTCCCCCGCTCCTGGGCGCCGGTCGGGCGTTTGCCTCGCGCTCCGCGGTGACGAGGAGACAATGGGAGAGAAAACCAAAGAAACGCCGTTAGTCCCCGCGCGGCGAAGACGGAGCGGTGGGGCCTGGAGGGAGCCCGGGAGCCCCTCCGCGCCCGGCCCGCGCCCCTGCCCCTCGCAGCCCTGGTTGTTTGTTCCGAGCGGGGGAGGGGAGCGGGGGGAGTTCCTCGCAGTGAAAACCTTTCCGAAGTGGGAGCGAACCCGGGGCGCTCCCCGGGCCGCAGCCTTCGGAGGAGACGGGGCCGCCGAGGCGGCCGAGGCTGGAATCTCCTAACCGCCGGCTTCTCATCTTGTCCTGGGGCAGGGGCCGCAGGATGGAAACCAGCAGCCTGCACCGCCGGAGAAGGTCGGCTGGGTCCGGAAATTCTGCGGGAAAGGGATTTTCAGGGAGATTTGGAAAAACCGCTATGTGATGCTGAAGGGGGACCAGCTCTACATCTCCGAGAAGGAGGTGGGTGCCTCTTGCCTCTAACTCTCCGCTTTCTCATGCCCCCCACTTTGTCGGTCCACCATGGCTCACCTGGCTGACTCCAGCCCCGTTTTGTTCCAAAGGCAAGTTCAGTGGTCTCCTGAGTCTCTACCCCCATCTCCTCTGCAGAGAAAGGTCACCCTTAAGTGAAAAGACCCGAGTGAGAAGTAGAAGTTGAGTTTGCCTCTTACTCAGTGTTTTTTTGTTTGCAAACACCTTTCTGACAACAAGGATAAGCCCCTCCCGAGATGTCCCAGACGTTCTGTGCCCCTTGCTGCCTCCCACCCTAACCTGGCCTCCTGAATACACGGTTTCTCTTCTTTACTGCTGCTGAAACACTTTAGCCTACTCGCCACCCTTTCCTGTTCCCCACCTTAACCCAGACAGCCTCCCCTTTCCTGTCTGTGGCAGGAACGTGCACGGGTCCTGTCAGCTGCGCATCCGCCCTGAATCACAGACAATCACGCACACCACACCGCCATCGGGCTCCTGTGACCTCGGGTCTGTGAATGGCAGTTGAAGCCAGTGTCCCTAACCAGTATGCTCTCTGTTCCCCACCCCCACCCCATTTAAAAAAGGAAAGGAACCCATTTTCTACCCACTTCCTGCCCACCCCCCATTTATATCAAAAGGGAGAAAAACGAACCCTGTATGGATAGCTTCGGCTCTGTAGTTGATCATGAAAACCACAGTCCACACTGTCAAAACCTGAGCTGTGATCATTGAATCCAAACCCATCTCCCTTGTTTCCCTAAGTCTTGGAATCAATAACTTATGTTGAGAAATCAGAATTGCCCCCCCCCCACCCCAATGATTAGAAGTCATTTCAATCCCTGCCTCTATCTGTCAGTATAGCCTGGGAGACTGTCCTGTGTACCCGTTAGAGTGGCCCTTCCTCCACCAGCAGGGGAGGGATTCTGTGTTCCCTCACCCAGGGCTAACTGGGAAGTCCTCCCTGAGTTTAACCTCTTCTGCTTTCTGCGGTAGACACCCTTATTCAGTAGATTCTATTTAGGTAAATAAAACCTTTTATGGTATGGAAACAGATAACACACACAGCCCAAGACAGCACTCCTCTAAAAGAACATCTACTGAGGCATCTAGGGAAGAGCTAAGCTGTGCCAGAGCCAGGGAATCCCTCTTAAGGGTATTGAAACCCAGCTGTTTACACAGAACTAGGAATTGGTGATGCAAAGTCTTAGGAGTGAGGTGAGGGCGCTTTCTTGCTGTCACCCAGGCTGGAATTCAGTGGCTCCATCCCAGCTCACTGCAGCCTTCACCTCCCAGGCTCAAGCAATCCTCCCACCTCAGCCTCCAAGTAGCTGGGACTACAGGTGGGTGCCACCATGTCTGGCTAATTTTTGTATTTTTTGTAGAGACAGTGTTTCACCATGTTGCCCAGGCTGGTCGCAAACTCCTGCCTCAAGTGATCCACCCACCTCAGCCTCCCAAAGTACTGGGATTACAGGCATGAGCCACCATGCCCTTACAGGAGAATTTATTTTTAAGAGTTACCTCTACCCAATCACAAATCCTCCAGAAAGCTTTCTCCACAATTTTCTGGCTTTCTAATTTAAAAAAAACAAAAACAAAGCAAGTGTCAAAGTATATCTCCTGTCTTCCCCGAACTTTTTAATTGCAGGAAATGCTAGTTAGCAATCAGGGAGAACTTCCTACAGGTCAAAGAAAAAAAAACGTAATAGTGAAAGGGTAAGAGGAATAAGACATCCGTTGTATGTATTTACCCAAACAGCAGAGTCTAGGGGCGAAAGCACAGTTGATCCTTGCTTGTGAGGAAGGGGTACAAAGACAGGGGACAGGATGGAGTGACCTCAGCCTAGGAGGTAATGTCTGGTGTCCTGTGAGTCAGGAGCATCTGGCTGGCCATGGAGCCAGCAGTCTCTGGGAAAGGCATAGGAAAGAGGAACTAGGCATATTGATACTAGGCTTTTTTAGAGCCCGTTTCCATGCTGCAGTGGGCCTGGGTTAGAGGTGAAATTGATAGAGGACTCTGGGCTTTATTCTGCCCGCCTGTGAAAAGCTCCAGGGCCAATGGTGTCAAGACAGGGTTGTTGGTTGTTTTTTTGTTTTTTGTTTTCAGAGACGGTCTCACTCTGTTGCCCAGGCCAGAGTGCAGGGGCACAATCATACCTTACTGCTGTCTTGACCTCTTGGGCTCAAGCGATCCTCCCACCTCAGCCTCCTGAGGAGCTGGGACTACAGGCGTGTGCCACCACACCCGGCTAATTTTTTTATTTTTGTAAACATGAGGTCTTGCTTTTTTTTTCTTTTCTTTTCTTTCTTTTTTTTTTTTTAATAACTCAGATATACAAAGGTAGGGGTCTTGCTATGTTGCCCAAGCTGGTCTCAAATTCCTGGCTTCAAGTGATCCTCCTGCCTCAATCTCCCGAAATTCTGGGATTATAGGCATGAGCCACAGCACCTGGCCAAGATTTTCTTTTAAGGCTGAGTATAATCTACATCATTTACTGTTAATGCAAGAAAATTCCTAACCCTATCTCCCAGAATTTTCACCAGAGTGTTTGTTACTTCCTCTCTTAAAGGCAGGGTCTTCCACAACCACCTCTGCCATAGACTTTGTTCTGTGTTCAATCGTAATCATTTTCTTCCTTCTCAGTTAAAGGGCACCCTCTCTGAAAGAGAGTTGGAGCACCTTATGATCATGGGCTGATGTGTAAGAACAGAAGCTAGACTTTAGGAAGACCTCATGGTAGAGGAAATTGGGTTTCGGGCAAACCTCTGGACAGGCGTGGAAAAAATCCCTTTTTGTGGTCAAGGACAAAGAATCGGGAAAGGAAGGCTTAATTTGGAAGAAGGGTAGTTACAATTAAGACTGGGAGTTAGGTAAGTGCAGTGGAGAACAAGGCTCCTGGCGAGGTCCATCCTCCCAGGCACTGGAATGTCCTTGTCCTGCTGCTTCCCTCAGCCACTCTCCCACCCTCCCCATTCCCACCAAGGGCTAACCTCTGTCAGCGTGTCCTGCTCCTGGAACTCCTTATCAGTCTGTTAGCAAGCCAGAAAAACTCCCTTTCCTTCCTTTCCCCTAAGGAAAACAGAGTAAGTTAACTCTCTTCCCCTGGCTACGTTCACACACCCAGCACTTTCCTCTCCATGGTGTCTGGACTCTGCTGATAGTCTCAACTCTGGAGAAGCAGGGGGAGAGGAGGGATGATGCATCGTCCTACATTCTTGCCCCGTGTTTCTGGGAATTGTTCTTGGACACCCCTTGCCAGCACCTTGTCCTGCTTCCACCCGTAGTCCTTCAAGGCCTGTGGTCGCTTTCCAGCCCAAAGCCAGGGAACCCTGGAAAGTGGGGGGCTCTGGAGGAGACAGGCCTTGCTGGAACAAGTGGAGGTAGATACACAAGCAGTCACTTACCTGAATGGGGCCCTGTCGTCCTCAGCCTCAGGTCCAGCAGCAGTTCAGAAGGATGGGCAGATACAAGGCTATAGCTGGCCTGGGTAATGGAAGGGGGATCCACTTCCCCACTTCCAGGTTGCCAGGAACCCAGAAGATAGATGAGTTCACCTCCATGCACACGAGTTGTATTTCAGAGCCTGGGAAGTCGGGGACTCCTCTGGGAAATAACTGCAGTCAGGGTGGGTAGGTGTCAGCCAAGGAAGACGTGAGGCTACTTTCATCTGTTTGGCTTTAATGAGACGAGTGCTGGTGCTTTTCATTTCTCACGCCATCCTCTGGGCTCCAACCCTGGGCTCCAGTCACAGAGGGCGAACGCACGGCCAGGTCTGGGCTTGTAACTAAGTCCCTTCTCTGTAACTTTGGTCCTTGCCAGCCAAAACAAATCCATAAGCCACCGCTTCAGAGTCCCAGAGTTACAGGGACACCACCTTAGAGGAAAGGAGAAAACATTGTGATCAGTTTTGTAAAATGGACCCGCAAGGAAATGTTCATAGAGCCGCTGTGCAGCGCGCAGAAAGGCAGCTGGGGTTGGAGGAGGTCGCTAGGAATGCGGCCTTGACCGGCCGTTCAGCAGGAGTGTTAAGAGCTCAGTGTTGCTTGGCACTGTTAAAGGTAGAACCAGAGTGTAAGACGGATCCACAGCAGGAGGGCCAAGTTTCCATACAAGGAACAGCTTCCCGGCAGTAAAGGGGTCCCAGGCACTCAAACTGGAATAATAGCGAGAAGTAACAATACTTTTTCCAAGTCTAGAGTTTCGTCTTCCAGGGAGAGTCTAACTGCATTCTTGTCTAGAGATGGGGGCCGAATGAAATGGCTTTTCGGGTCTTGGAGGAGTTTGGATTGTCACAGTACCTTGGAGGGAGGAGGGAAGGGTAGGAACTGTAATTGTAGTTTTCAGCTTCTTGGGACAAACTCAGCAAACTGAACACGGGGGCCTGCGGTCCTGTGGTGACGATGCTCCCGGAATGAACAAGGAAGATGAGTCTCTATAATCATACATGTCAGAGAAGGGAGCGAGGTGGGGCAGGAGAACTACACTGCACACGGGCAGGTGGGGAGGCCAGAGGCAGCCCCTCGTTCTCCCCAGACACCCCAGTACTGGCCCTGCCTTGATCTTCTTTCTGTGGACCATCAAGGGCCATACACGTCTGTCTTACCTGAGGGTGATGGATCAACCACCTGCCATGTCCCTTTAAAGATAGGAGCCTTCTTAGAACATGTAAGCGTAATCCCAGCACTTTGGGAGGCCAAGGCAGGTGGATCACGAGGTCAACAGATCGAGACCATCCTGGTCAACATGGTGAAACCCCGTCTCTACTAAAAATACAAAAAATTAGCTGGGCATGGTGGTGCGTGCCTGTAATCCCAGCTACTCAGGAGGCTGACGCAGGAGAATTGCCTGAACCCAGGAGGCGGAGGTTGCCGTGAGCCGAGATTGCACCATTGCACTCCAGCCTGGGTAACGAGCGAAACTCCGTCTCAAAAAAAAAAAAAAGAACATGTAAGGGTGTCCTTAAGGAAAAGAGTGAGGCAGGGAGTAAAGCAGGCATAGTGGGCTCTGGAAATGGCAGCCTGGCTGAGGAGAGTGAAGAGAAGGGGTTCAACAGAAACGTGCCTGAGTGTTTGGGACTTGGGGCTGCCCTAACCGCCCCTCCACGTGCGGCCTCGCAGGCTTGGGGCAGGATGGCCCCTCCTCTCCTGCTATCCCTCCCTCTCCTCAGGCTTCCTCTGCTTCCCAAGATGATGTAAACTAACAGTCTGGGTGGAGGGGCTAAATAATTTTATCCTCCTCACCTCACCCCAACCATATCCTAGGTGAAAGATGAGAAAAACATTCAAGAGATATTTGACCTGAGTGACTACGAGAAGTGTGAGGAGCTCCGGAAGTCCAAGAGCAGGAGCAAGAAGAACCACAGCAAGTTTACTCTCGCCCACTCCAAACAGCCGGGCAACACGGTACGTTCTCCTTCCGCCTCGGCCGCTGGAACAGGGACAGGGTTGGAGGGGCCGGGGAGAACCCCTTCCCCCAGCTTCTCTCAGCAGTCTTGGCTCAGAGGCCCTGAATCGCTCTCCCGCTGGCTTTATCATTTCACCTGAGAATATTGTGGCCATTTCCTTCCTCCCAGGCAGGCCAGCCTTTAACCTGTTTAGCCGCAAAGATCACCTCTATAGATATAATCTCTCTTTTTCTTTTTCTTTCTTTTTTTTTTTTTGAGACAGAGTCTCGCTGTTGTTACCCAGGTTGGAGTGCAATGGCGCGATCTCGGCTCACCGCAACCTCCGCCTCCTGGGTTCAGGCAATTCTCCTGCCTCAGCCTCCCAAGTAGCTGGGACTACAGGTGCGCACCACCACGCCCAGCTAATTTTTATATTTTTAGTAGAGACGGGATTTCACCTTGTTGACCAGGATGGTCTCGATCTGTTGACCATCTGGATCCACCCGCCTCGGCCTCCCAAAGTGCTGGGATTATAGGCATGAGCAACCACACCCGGCCCCTATTTTTCTCTATTATACACACATATGCACATATATCTATGTATGTATATATATATCCCTTAGAAGAAAATCCCTGTACTTGTACCCTGATAGGTGGTTGAAGTTGAATTAGTGCGTCTTGTCTGAGGGAACCCAGGGACGTTATTCCTGTCACGTTCTGTTTCTTCAAACATTGACAGTATTTTAATGCCTGTCCTTCATCAGACATCCTCTGATTATCTCCAATACCATAATAATACTCAGTATCCTTCTTAGCTCTTCCTGGTCATTTCTAAAACAACCTCCTGGCTATACATTTTGCAGGAATAGAAGCTGGGTTTCCTTAAGTTATGGATGACTCTGGAAGCAGAATCTCTCTCCTTCTAGGAGCTGGGTCTGAAAAGTGGGATTATAATATCTTATTTCTTTACTGTCAAGGTGAGGCACCACCTCTAAAACCCTGGCTGAAACAGGAATCTTCCCTCACAGGCACCCAACCTGATCTTCCTGGCAGTGAGTCCGGAAGAGAAGGAATCGTGGATCAACGCCCTCAACTCCGCCATCACCCGAGCCAAGAACCGTATCTTGGATGAGGTCAGGGGGCTCACTGCGGGGAGAGGGAGGGATGCTGGGCAGAGGGAGCAGCCAGACTCACTGATAGGGGGAGGATTATGGTGCAGGCCCCATTCACTCGCTCCCCCACCAGCTCTGCTTCATCTCCCTTTTTAAAACCCTGTTCTCTTTCGACCTTCTCTCAAATCTCTTCTGACACCGCCTCTTCCCTGGTTCCTGATGTGGGCGCCAGGCTTGGGTCAGCCTAAAGAGCCCCATCGTGTCCAGTAAATCCCCTTGCCCATGGATTCATTTGGAAGCAGTGCATGGGGTGGGCATGTGTTCAGGTCTCGGGGTGCTGGGTTGGGACAGAGGGTTGCGGAAGAGCACTCATGACTCACAGTACCTCTCTCCAGGTCACCGTTGAGGAGGACAGCTATCTTGCCCACCCCACTAGAGACAGGGCGAAAATCCAGCACTCCCGTCGCCCCCCAACAAGGGGACACCTGATGGCTGTGGTACGTGAGACTGTAATAAAGTGGGCGTTGCGTTGCCCGAGGGCCAGTTCTGTGTCGGTTCATCTCAGAACCATATGCCACCAGAGGCATCTGTGGGAGGCCTCCTTGATGCCAAGATCAGAGGCGAGGCAAGTCCTTCCGCCCCATGCCCCTGCCTGATCTAAATAAAAAAGATGTATTCAGCACCCATTATGAGTTCAGAAGTCCCTGCTGCCAATTGATGTTACCCTCTTTTGGAGAAAATGAGTTAACACCCACAGGATAGTGAACAAGAAGCTACTGTATGGGGCTGTCCTGTCGGGGAGGGCAGTGCTACCGGCATTTGGAGGGAAAGGGCCACAGTGAACCCCTGAAACATACAGAGTGGTAGTTTCTTTCATGCCTCTGAGCTCTGAGTCTTTAGGGAGAGAGGCAGTCAGGTATAGCACAGAGAACGCAGGCTTTGGAGTCAGAACCTGAGGAGGAGCCTCACTGCAGTCAGCACCTGTGTGCTTCCCTGAAGTCGCATGTCTCCACCTGTGAAACCAGGAGCTGACCGTGCCTGCCTCGAAGGGCTGCTGTGAGGAGTGACCAACATATGTATAACTACATATATGGGGTTGAATTCTCCTCACTTTTTAAAATTACGGTATTCTGTAAATAAGAGAACACATTTTATCATAAGGCAAGGAGGCCGAGGTGTGGGGCTCAGGAGATGCAGATGGAGGAGGACAGTCACTGTGCCACGGGGAGCACCCTGTGTGTGTGTCAAACCCAGGTTAATGCTCAGTCCACAATACCGAGGAAGAGGACACTCCTCAGGAAGCTTGCAGTAGAGCGCAGGATACAGGAAACAAGCAACAGAAATTAAATCACAGAAAAAGAAACATTCAAGTCAGTATCTAAGGAGTAAGAAACGGCACATTCAGTAGGCGGCGTGGCCAGGCCCGGGCTCATGCCTGTAATCCCAGCACTTTGAGAGGCTGAGGCAGGTGGATCACTTGAGGTCAGGAGTTTGAGACCAGCCTGGCCAACACAGTGAAACCCTGTCTCTACTAAAAATACAAAAGTTAGCCAGGCGTGGTGGTGGTGCCTTTGGTCCCAGCTCCTTGGGAGGCTGAGACAGGAGAATCACTTGAACCAGAAGGCAGAGTTTGCAGTGAGCCGAGATTGTGCCACTGCACTCCAGCCTGGGCAACAGAGCAAGACTCTGCCTCAAAAAAAAAAAAAAGTACTTCTCATTCAAGGAAGGCTCGTAGAGGAAAATGACCATAGCTTGCGCCTGTGTTTTAGGTAGTCATTCCTAAAATCCTCCTGATGACAGCGTTCCCCTCTCATTCCCCCCTTCCTCTGCAGGCCTCCACCTCTACCTCAGATGGAATGCTGACCTTGGACCTGATCCAAGAGGAAGACCCTTCCCCTGAGGAACCAACCTCCTGTGCTGAGAGCTTTCGGGTTGACCTGGACAAGTCTGTGGGCCAGCTGGCAGGGAGCCGGCGGAGGGCAGACTCGGACCGCATCCAGCCCTCCGCAGACCGGGCAAGCAGCCTCTCCCGACCTTGGGAGAAACCAGACAAGGGGGCCACCTACACCCCCCAGGCACCCAAGAAGTTGGCTCCCACAGAGAAAGGCCGCTGTGCCTCCCTGGAGGAGATCCTGTCTCAGCGGGACACTGCCCCTCCCCGCACCCTCCAGCTGCGGGCTGAGGAACCCCCAACCCCTGTCCTTCCCAACCCGGGACAGCTGTCCCGGATCCAGGACCTGGTAGCAAGGAAACTGGAGAAGACTCAGGAGCTGCTGGCAGAGGTTCACGGCCTGGGGGATGGGAAGCGAAAGGCCAAGGACCCCCCTGGGTCTCCGCCGGATTCTGAGTCAGAGCAGCTGCTGCTGGAGACGGAGCGGCTGCTGGGAGAGGCATCATCGAATTGGAGCCAGGCAAAGAGGGTGCTGCAGGAGGTCAGGGAGCTGAGAGACCTGTACAGACAGATGGACCTGCAGACCCCCGACTCCCACCTCAGACAGACCACCCCTCACAGTCAGTACCGGAAGAGCCTGATGTGAGGGCGGGGGTGGGGCCCGGAACTCATGGGGGTGGACAGACTCTTATCTCCTTGTTGCTGGATAAAGCTTTTTTATTTACCTCAATCAAAAAAAGAAAAAAACAAACTCATTGCTCTGGCTGACGCCCAACCCCACTACAACCCTTGTTTCCCCACCTGCTTTCCGTGTCCCCTGGGGTTTGAGGAAGTGAGCCCACAGAAGCAGTAGGAAGCTTTCAACCAGCCAGAGACAATGCGCAGTGAAGACAGTCTGGCCACTCGACACACCACCTGCCCCTGAGACGGCAGGGGGAGTCCGCTGCTGCTCCCGAGGATACAGGGGGCTTCTGAGTTTAGAGCAGGAGGGGGATGAGAGCATTTACTCCTTTTTTCTTTTTTTTTTCTTTTGAGACGGAGTTTCACTCTTGTTACCCAGGCTGGAGTGCAATGGCGCGATCTCGGCTCACTGCAACCTCCGCCTCCTGGGTTCAAGCAATTCTCCTGCCTCAGCCTCCTGAGTAGCTGGGATTACAGGCCCGCGCCACCATGCCCAGCTAATTTTTGTATTTTTAGTAGAGACGGTTTCACCATGTTGACCAGGATGGTCTCGATCTCTTGACCTCATGATCCACCCACCTCGGCCTCCCAAAGGGATTACAGGCGTGAGCCACTGCGCCCCGCCAAGAGCATTTACTCTTATGTCCCACCTGAGGCCTTCAGTTTGAGGGTGGAGTTTCAGCTGCCCAACTCTAGGGATGTGGAGGCCAGTGCCACCTGTCTGTGCACATGGAAATGAAATTTATCCCAGCCCTGAGGAGGTTATGTGGCATTAAAATCTCCCCAGCCAGACACTGGCTTCTTGTTCCTAGCAGTCTCTGAGATCGAGCTGCCTGGATTTTCTTACATGAGGTGTTTCTTTCCTTCATCCTCCACACCCTTCCCAACACTGACTCAAAGATCCAACCTTGCTGGGTGTGGTGGCTCACACCTGTAATCCCAACACTTTGGGAGGCCAAGGCAGACGGATCACCCGAGATCAGGAGTTCGAGACCAGCCTGATCAACATGGTGAAAGCCCATCTCTACTGAAAATACAAAAAATTAGCCAGGCATGGTGGTGGACACCGGTAATCCTAGCTGTGCAGGCAGCTGAGGCAGGAGAATCACTTGAACCCGGGAGGCGGAGGTTCCAGTGAGCTGAGATCATGCCATTGCACTCCAGCCTGGGCAACAAGACCGAAACTTTGTCTTAAAAAAAAAAAAAGGTCCAACCTTGGGTGGATTAGACTGGTTTCGTTATTTGATTCAGAGCCCTAACATAAGGGAACTAGAGAGAGACCCCACAGAAGAACTGAACTAAGAATGAAACTGATTTGTGATGCAAACTGGGTAGGATGAAGGGGTAAACCAGACGTTTCCAGGTTCCTCTTTCGGCCGAGCTAAGGTTTCCTGTAGCCTCTGTCTCTCCTTCCTCAAACCTCTTCCAGCACTAAGCAAGCCCCCACTTGAGAAAAACATCTGGATGCCCACCACACCACCTCCCAGCCTCCTCAGGGATGGCCAGGCCTCCTAGCATTCTTGTCTACGGTAGGTCCCACACAACTCACTGTTCGCTTCTCCCTAGGAAGTGTGTGAGATCAGGTTTAGTAACAGGTGAGGCCCTAAGAATAGTTGTGAAAAGAACATTTGAATGATTCTGGGAAAGAAGGGGACAGAGCCTCATGGATTAAGTAAATGAGGGGTTAGAAGCCATTTTGAAGTGTGTCCTGCCAGCTGCTCGATCCCCTTCCCCAGCAGTGCGTCACTAGGGATGAGAGGGGAGAAGGGGGAGGAAACAAGGCTGAGTTACATGTAAACCTGGCCTTGAGGCTTCCCTGATGTTAGGAAGATGGGATAGGAGGAAGAGCGGGGGAAACCCTTTCGGAGAAACGCAGGCCCTTTAATCCCCATTCTTCTGCTCTGATGTTACTCCAACCCATGTGGGCAAAATGGGGGGCTCCATCCCCTTCTTTCCAGAAATCATTCATCTCTTCACAGCTCTTCTCCGGACCTTATCGCTGCTATTAACCATCCCTGGGGCAGAGGAATTCTTGCTCTCTCTAGTTGCTTGCCACTCTGTGTCATGGAGATTGTCCCGAGCTCTCAATTGTAGTTACCTAGTCTCTTTCTTGAGGAATGCGGATCCCAGTTGAGTGAGGGAAAGCGCACCAGAGTGCCACCTTCTTGTCATTCCCACGGTCTCCCTGAGTAGGAGGTGGGAACCCAGGCTTCCAGACTTCCCGTCCTACAAATAGCTGTACTCTCCACGCCCTAAGCATGGTCACCAGAGCCATCGTTGGCAAAAATATTGGAAGTCTAGGCTAAAATTATGCTTTGTTTTTACAAGTCTCTATATTTGTATTTTACCAGCATTTTTCCTTTTTTTCTTCCTTGTTGCTCCCACATAATGAGGGAAAAGACAAAAGCACAAATGACGTGTGTATCCCAACATGCCAGTTATCCGTGGCTCCCAGGGGAGCCGGAAGCTGGAGGGAGACACGAGACAGGAGAGGCACGGGTGAGAGAAGCAGAAGAGAAAGATGAGGGACCTCGAGACAGGATGAGAAGAGATGGGCGCTGGGCTCCTGGGGTCTTCAGGCTCCAAAACCGACCGCTTCCAGTTCTCCAGTTACTGGAACATCCAGGCCATAGGGTGGTGAAATGAGCCCAGCTTTGAAACCAGATCGATCTGGATTCAAATTCTCTGTTACTGCTTGATTATGAGGCCCTGGGCAAGGCATACGCTTTCCGAGTATCAGTTTTTTCACCTGCAAACTTGAGAGCTTAGTGGATGAGTGAGGACGATGTGGAAAGTGCCTGTCTGTCAGAAAGTGACTGCTGTGGCTACTGTGACTGGTGTGGCTCTGGGCGGTGAGCAGCCAGCTCAGGTGGAAGGAGCACAGTGGGAACGCAGCCTCCGATGTGGGGTCAGCCATCGCCACTTAGATCCAGGCCGCAGGCTGTGCCAGACCCCTCTCTTCAGAGGAAGATTACGCACCACGTACTGCGCTGCAGGCTAGAGCCAGAAAGGGGGACCAAAGCAAGGTCCCTGGTCTTCAAGAGCTTCAGAACTTAGCACGGAGCCAGGCTTCCCACTCGAAAAATCGCCTAAGGTGCACCGTTGTGGTAGGCTGCTGGCATGATTTCTGTTGAGGAAGCATTTGTATTTGTGCCTGGGCACTGTGACAGGAGGATGGGAAGGCTCTTACTCTTGTTTCCCTTCCTCCCAGCGCCTCTTCCCTCACTCCAACATTCCAGCCCCTCTTGCCTGCAGTATTTCCCTTCCGTGCCCAGGTAACTGTGATGAGTGGCAGATGGGCTGGCTGAGTAGGGAGGAAGAGCTCCGTAGCTGTGTGGGGCAACTGTCTCAGCACACGGCTGCCCCCAGATGCTGTCAGGGCGCACTTATTCTCCTTCCTTCCCCCTCCCAGCTGCCCTGCACCCTTCTCTTACACAGATGGAGCAAAGGGAAGCGCCCCCCAGAGGCCCTAGGATGGGGAGATGGGAGAACCCAGAATGCAGGGTTGAGATGGAGTGAGGGTAGGGGCAGGTCAAGAACGAAATCTTAATTCACATTTCAGTGACGTTTTCCTCAACTTTTCCCATCCTTCCCCATCAGGTTGTTAGCCGGGGGCCTGGGGAGGGATGAAGGAACAGTGCACTCCCGGCCCCTCCGTCAGGAAGAACGTCTGGGCTGTTGGCCTGGAACGCTGATGAGTTGATTTCCCTGCTGTTTCCACAGCATCGGCTGAGCAGGGAGAAAAGAAAAGCGCAAATTTCTCTAACTCCTGCCCTGTCCCTCACAAACCACGTGGTGCTGAGAAACAGCTCTCACCTCCTTCCCCAGCCGCTCTCCCAACCCCTCTGCCACTATTAAATTTGCCTCATTCTCCCAGGAGATGAGTCTCTATGAATCTCTCCCCTACCTAAACCTCCCAGGCAAGCAGTCCCGGCTCCCTTCTGCAACCGTCAAGCTCGGCAGCTGCCCACCCCCTTGTCACTCCCTTCCCTACGCCGGGTTCCTTTCTCTCTGCTTCCTTCCTACCTCCCAGTCTCCCAACTGGAGCAGCCAATCCCCAGCCTGCTCTGGAGCCACACCATATATGGAGAGGTTGGAAAGAAACACGAGTAAATGCGGGAGCGAACACACACACTCTCAGACACACACACATACACTCATACACACTCATACTCTCATACACACTCATACTCTCATACACACACATACACACACTCATACACTCATACACACACATAATACACACACACATACACTCATACACACATACACACACATAATACACACACACATACACTCATACACACTCACACATAATACACACACACATACACTCATACTCACACATAATACACACACATACACTCATACACACTCATACTCTCATACACACTCATACTCTCATACACACACATACACTCATACACACACATAATACACACACTCATACACTCATACACACAAATACACACACATACACTCATACACACTCACACATAATACACACACTCATACACTCATTCTCATACACACAAATACACACACTCATACACTCATACACACACATAATACACACACACACTCATACACACATACACACACATAATACAGACACACATACACTCATACACACTCACTCATACACACTCATACTCTCATACACACAAATACACACACATACTCTCATACACACTCACACATAATACACTCATACACTCATTCTCATACACACAAATACACACACACATACACTCATACACACACATAATACACACACTCATACACTCATACACACAAATACACACACACATACTCTCATACACACTCACACATAATACACTCATACACTCATTCTCATACACACAAATACACACACACATACACTCATACACACACATAATACACACACTCATACACTCATACACACTCATAATACACA